TGTGGAAAAATTTTTTTTTTTTGTTTGGGTTGGTTTTTTTTTTTTTTTTTTTTTTTTTTTTCACCTGCTAGAGAAACAGAAAAAAATACTGCAATTTTAGAGTGTGTGTATACATTTGGCTTCCTATTATTATACTAGGGGAATTTTGACTTTTGATATCGTTTCCAATCTTCTTTGTTTTCTTTATCACTTTTTTTGCAGACATCTTCAGAATGCACAGCAGCAGAGAAGAAGAGGTGGAATCTCAATGACTTCGATATAGGCAAGCCTCTCGGTAGAGGAAAGTTTGGACATGTTTATCTCGCAAGGGAAAAGCGGCTCTGTGTTTTCCACTCCTTATTTGAGTTTGTTGTAATTTAGAGAAATAATCTGAAAGTAATTCATATATTTCAGTGTAGAAAATATAGGAAACTACCCAACAATATTTTGTAACAATCCACAGCTCTTACCTCTGAATTTAATGGATAAGAATAAATATTTCCTAACTAATTTACATCATATTTACTCCTAATAATCAGCCACTAAATATTCCATACAATCTGGCACTCCCACTTAAGCTGGTGAAAAATCTTCCATTCCCAGCTTGGAAATAATTTCAGGAACCCAGCGCTATTCAGCCCCTTGGAGAAAACATCTGCCAATTGACTCCCTGATGGCACATAAGACATACAAACTAGTCCTTCTTCCAGCTTCTCCTTAATGAAGTGTCTATCAATCTCAATATGTTTAGTCCTGTCATGTTGTACCGGTTTGTAAGCAAGGTTAATTTTGGATTTATTGTCACAGTATAATTTCATAGGTCCTCTTCACTTGATTTTCAAATCATCCATAATAATCTTTAACCGCAACAATTCACACAGTCCTTGAGCCATAGCCCTAAATTCGGATTCTACACCTGACCTTGCCACTAAATTTTGCTTTTTGCTCCTCCATGTCACTAAGTTACCACACAGAAATGTGCAATAGCCAGTTGTTCGTTTTCTATCTACTATAGATCCCACATAGCTTACATCTATGTATGCCTCGAGTGTGAGTTCATTATGCCTTCATTTGAATCTCATTTCATTAGATTCCATTATATTCAATTTTGCTCTATCCTATTTTCAACCACACAATCTTCCATAAAATAATATTACATGTAAATCGAAAACTTTTCATTCTTTTTTAACCACTCATTTAAAAAAAAAGAAACACTATTTCACCCATTTTCATTTCTAAAAAATGGGGGCCAAAATGGGTCTTCTTAATAGAACTCCTTTTCCCCGACTCTCCTTCAGGTAGTGTAGCACTCGGTAAACAACTTGTAGATGAGATTCCCTCGGATCATGCATAAATTGACTAATCATGTTAACTGAATAGGCGATGTCTGGTCGAGTATGAGCAAGATAGATGAGTTTCCCTACTAAACTTTGATACATCTCTCTATCAACTGTTGGTTCTTCTTTTGCTTCCCACAATTTTTGGTTAGGTTCAATAGGAGTAGCTACTGGTTTACATCCCAATACTTCTGCTGTGATATAAATATTCCTTGTCTTAAGTATTAAACTTCTCCAAGGAAGTGCTTTAGCCTCTCAAGCTCTTTTATTTCAAATTCTTTAGTTAAGCACTGTTTCATGTTTTGTTGCTCTCTCTCATCATCACTAGTGACAATAATATTGTAACATCCCGACCCCTAGTGGACCGGAACGCTACTTACTTTACTTAGCTTAATCGGTGGTTTAGTAACAAGTGTATACGTTTTAGCAGAAGTTTACATCTTCGGATAATAATTTAAATAACAATACTTCAAATACTTTAAACAAAAACACTGAATTATTTTTCAAAATAACAAAATGTAATTTATTTGAAGAAAATATAACTTGTTCTCGCATTCTGCGTTATTCAAAATTTTAAAAAAATAACATTGAAAAACATTTCATAAAAATAAATCAAAATCACTTATTCACCGGATTTCCATGAGCTCGTTGCATCACTCTCCATCTTCTCCTCCATCCATGCTCGAGGTAAAATTCCTTCAATCTGTAGAGATGAAATTAAACCCGTGAGTTGAAAAACTCAATAGGTGTCATAGGTGCATTCGTGATGAAGTTAAACATTTCAAAACATTAACTTTATAACTTTTCATACATGCCGTACCCGGAGTCACCATTTGACATGAAGGGGTATGCCGTACCCGAAAGCACCATTTGACATACGAACATTTCTTCAACATAGAGGGGTATGCGGTACCGGAGTACCATTTGACATACAAACATTAACATGAATCGAAACTTATAACTTAACACGATTAAACACATTGCACATCTACCTACCATTATTGATGCTTTTGAAAACTTGGATTGAAAATTTTGATGAAATTTGGACGTTGAAAGAAATGCACTCCTTGAATGTTTGAAAATCGTTGAGAATTGATGCTTAAAAACACTTCTTAAACTTCTAGAAAAAATAGTTTTCCTCCCTCTCTTTTTCTCTCTTAGAAACTCTTTCTTTAGTATGTAAAAGCTCTTGCTTTTTGTGTGAGAAAAAATGAGTGAAACGAGGTATCTATTTATAAGTAAATATCCCATAATTTAAAGCAAATGAAGGGTCAAATTTCATTTAAAAGAGAAAACATGGGTGCCATTTAAGTTTGAGGTTAAATACTTCAATTTAGTGGGGTTTTTATTGCCAAAAACGTGGGTGGCCCTTTGAGAAAATAATTGATGAAAATAAATATTTAAATTCTAGAGAAAAACGAGAATTTTCATTTCAGGCAGTTTCGGTCGACTGGTTGTAGTCCGGTTGACACTGCACAGTCTTTAGTGTTTCTATCATAACTTCTTCTCCAGATATCTGATTGAGGTAATTCAAAGTGCGTTGGAAAGCTAACTCAAAGAGCTACAACTTTTATTTAGATATCATTTTCCAAATCGAATGTTTCCTATGTCGAAAATGGGTCTCAAATGAGACTAAAAATCTGAAGTATACTTTAGTCATCCAATATTCATGTTTTAGTGCCACTAAAGTGTCTAGAATTATTTGGGGTTCTACATCCCCTACAGCTTAATTAAAATTTCGTTCTCGAAATTTACCTTCTGATTGGGCGAATAGTGTTGGATACTTGTCTTTGGCTTCTTCTTCTTTTTCCCAAGTGGCTTCTTCTACGCCGTGATAACTCCACTGTATCTTATCCAGCTGAATCCCTTTATTCCTTAGTTTATGCACTTTTCGATTCAATATCTTGATCGGTAGTTCCTCGTACGACAAATCTTTCTGTACCTCCAAGTTTTGATAACTCATTACATGATTAGGATCATATACATACTTCTTTATCATTGATATATGGAACACATTGTGCACTGCCAATAATTCAGGTGGCAAATCTAGTCGGTAAGCCACATTTTCGACTCTATCAAGTATCTCGAAAGGTCCAATATACCGGGGACGTAGCTTGCCTTTCTTTCCAAATCTAAGTACACCTTTCATCGGTGCTACTTTCAGAAACACTTTATCTCCAACTTGGAATTCTAAATCCTTCCTCCTTATATCTGCATAGGTCTTTTGTCGATCATGTGCTGTCTGTATTCTTGCACGAATTTTATCGATTACCTCGACCGTCCTTTCAACTATTTCTGGTCCCAAAACTCTCTTCTCTCCGACTTCATCCCAATGAACAGGGGATCTACATCTTCTACCATAGAGAGTTTCGTATGGTGTCATTCCAATAGTTGTTTGGAAACTGTTATTATAAGCGAACTCTACTAGAGGTAAGTATGACTCCCAATTACCTCCTAGATCCAAAACACATGTTCTCAGCATGTCTTCTAAAGTTTGGATGGTCCTTTCAGACTGACCATCGGACTGAGGGTGATATGCTGTACTAAAGTTCAACTTCGTTCCCATAGCTCCTCGTAGACTTTTTCAAAATTTGGACGTGAACCTTGGGTCTCTGTCAGACACAATGGATACAGGTACACCGTGTAATCTCACAATCTCTTTAATGTACAACTGTGCCAATTGGTCTAAACTGAATGTCATTTTCACTGGAAGAAAATGAGCTGACTTCGTTAGTCGATCCACTACTACCCATATAGCATTATTTTCTCTTGCTGACTTCGGGAATCCAACCACAAAGTCCATCGTGATATTTTTTCCATTTCCATTCAGGTATATCTAGTGGATTTAACAGTCCAGCTGGTTTTTGGTATTCTTCCTTAACCTGTTGACATACCATGCACTTCTGCACGTACAGCCCTATACTTCTTTTCATATTTCTCCACCAAACTGTATCTCGAAGATCTCGATATATTTTCATACCACTGGGATGTGCGGTGTACGGGGTGGAATGAACTTCTTTCAATATCTCGTTTATCAAGGCTTCATCCTTAGGCACGCAAATTCTCCCTCTAAATATCAGTGCTTGATCCTTAGCTACTCCAAAGTCCTTTTTCTTATCGGTACCAACTTCATTCTTAATTTTCTGCAAAAATGAATCTTTATTTTGTGCTTTTATAATTCGATCTCTAAGAGTAGGTCAAATTATTAAAGCTGCTAGACGAACAGTGACTTGTGTGGTAACCACTTCGATCTGCAACTTTTCCAAATCCTTAACTAACTCCACTTGAGAGGTGGGTAGTGACGTCAATTGTCCCATGGATTTCCTACTTAGAGCGTCGGCCACAACATTAGTCTTACTCGGATGGTAGTGAATAGTGCAGTCGTAATCGTTCACCAATTCCAACTATCGTCTTTGTCACATATTCAATTCCTTCTGTGTGAAGAAATACTTGAGACTTTTGTGATCTGTGTAGATATCACACTTCCGTCCATACAAGTAGTGTCGCCATATCTTCAAAGCGTGTACTACCGCTGCAAGTTCTAAATCATGCGCCGGGTAGTTCTGCTCATGTTTCTTCAATTGTCTTGAAGCATAGGCTATCACTTTTCCATTCTGCATTAGTACACATCCCAATCCTCGCTTGGATGCGTTGCTATATATAACAAACCCTTCTGTACCTTCAGGTATTGTTAATACAGGTGTTGATATCAACTTCTGCTTAAGTTCTTGGAAACTTTGTTCGCATTTTTCCGTCCATTGAAATTTTACTCCCTTCCTTATAAGCTGCATCATTGGTCCAGCTATTTTAGAGAATCCTTCTATGAATCTCCTATAATATCCAGCCAATCCTAGAAAACTCCGTACTTCGCCAGCATTTGTTGGTGTTTTCCAGTTGGTTACTGCTTCTACTTTTGCTGGATCTACTTCAATCCCTTGGGCAGTAA